CGGAGGAGAAGGGGAATGGGAAGGAGCCCTGGAGAGGAGCCGCTGTCAAAGTGGAGCCGCCCGACGTCGCCTTTGAGGCCTGCAGGGTGAAGATGGAAAAGGACGATGCCCCCGCTGGCTCCCTGTGTGGGCCTGCTCATGCCAGCACCGATGACCGCAAGGCGCAGCTGTGTGAGGGGTTTGGGATCCTCCCCGAAGATCTGAAGATCCCAGTTGTGTTTCACCCCTTACCTCCAGGGACCCGCATACAGATCCAAGGCCCTCTGCCGACAGAGCTGATCCATGTGACTAAAGTGCCGGTGAAACAAGTGCCGCTTAAAATGCAGTCTTTACTGGAGCCTTCAGTAAAGATTGAAACTAAAAATGTTCCCCTCACAGTACTGCCCTCTGATTCAGGTATTATGATGTTAAGAGATACCTGAGATACGCAAGGTTCAGTAAGTGGCACACAGGTGACAGGTTATCAGATGAGAGAACACAAGCGGAAAGGTCATGTTAGAGAACGATCCCTTTGGATAGACTGGAGTTTGTACAACTCTCTTCTTCAGCTTAAGATGTAAATGTACGGGAGCACAGAGTTCTCTAGTGGTTTGTTAAAATCAACGCAGTTTTGTCCACTTGCTCCCTGACTACATTAAACCCCTTACAACTGTTCAGAATTGCATTGGGTTGTGATTGCAAGTTTAAGGTCAGAAATCTGCTTGATTTTTAAAGCTGTGAAGCATTCATATACCTCTGAGAAAATCTGGACATGTTAGATGAGGAACATTTTGAAACATCTGCATTAGAAGCTTTTTTTGAAAGATATCTAGGCTTTCAAAATTATTGAATTGAAGTGAGGTCTTTAGAAAACTTTTGCCCTTTATTGATAATGTAAGAGTTCATTTCTAAGCCTTTTTCAGAGAGGAAGTTGCTTGCTCAGGGATCAGTTGTGAGGGGTCTGGGGGTTCATCATGCCAACAGCTCAATTTAAATGCAGTCTGTGTTTACAAAGAGCCAAAGCTGGGTGTCATGTAACAGTCATTTGGTAACACAGGTTCCTCCAGCAAAATGAGTGTAAATCTGAGAAAAGAGTGAGAGAGGGGAAAAAAAACCCAACCAGAAACCCATAACAGCAACGACCTCAGCTGAGAAGCCAGGGATTGCACAGGTGTGGAACTAAACTGCCATACCATTGTAAGATCTGGTCCCTGCATCATTAGGACTTTGGATACATAGTTCTGGTGGTGACGACAAATTTGTAATGATACGGTCTATGCTATACAATGTTTAGTTTATAAATTCATAAGTTTATAAATTCGTAAGAAAACAATCTAGCCAAATGAAATCCAAACCACTGTGTTAGCAGTCCCATATGTTTTTTTCTTTTTTTAAATATTATGTAGCAAAAGCCAGGTAAATGATTCCTTATCCAGTGGTTCAGTGAAGGTTAGTGGAGCATATTCCCTTAGCCTTAGTTATTTTTCTAGGAACTGCTCTCCAAATGTGCATCGAGTTTCATGTGTTCCAAAGCTCCAGTGATTCTTTTGACAGTTGCCAAATATTCTCTTGACATACTGTTGAATGTAACCTGTATTGCATATACTGCCTGGAAGATGATCATCTTTCCTCATTTTGTTGCATAGGTATGCCAGATACTCCATTTAGCAGGGACAAAAGTGGCCATGTAAAGCGTCCAATGAACGCATTTATGGTGTGGGCTAGGATTCATCGTCCCGCCCTAGCAAAAGCTAACCCAGCTGCCAACAATGCAGAAATCAGTGTTCAACTTGGATTGGAGTGGAGCAAACTGACTGAAGAGCAGAAGCAGCCCTATTATGATGAAGCTCAGAAAATAAAACAAAGGCACAGAGAGGAATTTCCTGGTAAATATGTACTTATTTACCTGAATGCTTTAGAAGTGCAAGATTTTTTGAAAAATGGATCTCTTTCACTAGAGCAAGTAATAGTTAGAAAAAATTACAAAAATTTCAAGCACACATTCCTTCTGTCAGCTTTCTAGTGCCTGAAAGCATATTGATTTTTTAAAGCATCGAAAATGTTGTTTCATCCTTCATAGCCTCTAACATTCCTTATGGTCTTAGATCACCACAGCTACAGCAGCTCTTCTGAATGCTTTCGTAGTCTAATGGCCAGATAGCGAGTTTGTTGTGAACATGACCTGCTGCATCATTTTATACGCTCCAGAAAGAGCTGCGCAGGTGGCCTGTGGTGACACATGCATCCATTCCTTAAAAGCAGGAAAGGGAAATGCCACAGGAAGAACAAACGGCATTGTATTCTGTGGGATTCTTCAACATGTAGACTTGGGATTCCCAAATAACAGTGTGGAAGATGTCGTTTCTCAGCGTTTTGTCAAAAGGGTTAAAAATTTGTACCCTTAACAAATTCAATTCTCCGTAACACTGCAGTTCAATAAAACAGAGCACAAGTACTTTGAACACACTTTTTAAAAGCTGTTGAGATACCAGGTGTCGTGATCCTTTCTCTCTCTGTTGTCACAATCCTGCTAGTTCATGATTATGGCTAATCCTGGTAGACAAGATCTGACTAATTTGTCATAAACAAGCAAAAGATAGGAGCAGCACTCTCCCTCTCTCCTTGCACCCTTCAAAAAAAAAAAAAAGGGCTTCTTTAAAGTTGCATTAAGAGGTAGCCTGTGTAAGAAACCGAGCTGCTCAGTGTAAATTCATAATTATTTATACATCTGCTAGTGTTTGGTTAATGTTGTAAGTCAAAGGCAAATGTACTCCTCCAAAATCTGTACAGGATTCCTAGTGGGTCATATTTTCCATTGTCTCTTGTAACCTGCAGGTATATGTGAGACTTAAGGGGTTAAGGAAACAATCAGGAAGGATCCACATTTTGAATACAGTCATGGTTTTCTTCCGCACTGAAAGCCATGGTACAGTGTCATGTTCTCCTTAACATGCTTTCCTCAGCTGTGCCACGTAACTCCCCACTGTTCTGTATTTCTTTGTCTCACAAACAGTTACTATTTAGTAACATAAAACAATGCCCAAATATGTCCATTTTATGTCCACCTCTGATAAAATGCCCCGTTTGCTAGCTCACTGAAACAAATGGAGTATTGCCATTGACTGTAGGAGCAGTTTTGGGGCTCATTTTTTTTAGATATTTCAAAATTACAGATATCATAGCTTTACATAAAGAATGAGACCATCCCAAAAATTGGATGTCTGCATCTTTTTTCATCTCTGACAGGTTGGGTTTATCAACCACGACCAAGCAAAAGGAAGCTGCCTGTCTCCGCTGTGTTTTCCGGCGCTTCTCAGAGTATCATCGCTACAAACCCAGCTGGCATTTGTCCCTTCCAGTCACCTGCTTACTCTGTTGTCATCCCCAATGTTAAGAACAGTATTGGACATCCAGTCTGTGAGTTTTCAGTAGTGAATGATTTTAAAAATTCAGAATTTACTTATTGTAGTAAAAGCTATACATATGGTAGTGTAGATACAATTAGAACAATTTCTCAGTCTTTCTTGATACCACTGTTGCTATCAGTCCTCCTCTGTACTGCACCTCTGCCTCCTAGTCTCTACCTATTGTTTCGTCAGCCTCTTAAATTCTTCTGGCTTCTTCATTGCCCACAGATCCCTGCTATTGTCTTTGTAGCTCCTGGTTACCTCCTGCTACCTCTTGGTCTTTTTGGATCTCTATTACTCAACCCTTGCTGTTTCTTTTTCTTGTTCTGTCTCCACCTCACATATGTCTTATCTCACCAGCTCTAACTGCACTAGTGCTCAACTCCGCCCTGCTAAGCCTGAAAGAGCTTGTTAGCTTGCTCCATGGCACCTCCACCCTGATGTTAGTGTTCCTTGGTAGGGAAGGCACCATTGCTCTAGAGCAAATGCTCAGCAGCTTAGACTGCTTACAAGCAACAGCAGACAGAATTGTCAACAAGGTCATCAAAAAGGAATTTAGTAGGGTGTTAGTAAGGTGTGTGCTGCAGTATTAAAGCAGTCACTAAATCTGAAAAAGAAATTTTTCATTTGCACATTTTCCATGAACAGTTACTTAGGTATCTATGCACACCTGGAATAGTTCTATATGTAGTTGTTATGAACTTGCACATGTCCACAGTTTGAGCGTACATAGCTCAGCTTTTATATGAACAAAAATATAGTTACAGAAGGAATGCATTAAAAAGTTGCAACTGACCTGGAAGGATCCTCCTTTTTACAAGAAGTCAACATGGGCAGTGAAATAGGGTGTAGTATGAGAGCCCACAGTCAAGTATAATAGCTGACCTGCATATTTTGTAGTGAAAGAGCTCTGGCTCTGTCAGTGCATGGATAGTGGATTTCAACAACAAATAGCTTAGGTCCAGGCAATCGCATTTTTCTCTTTAAGTGTACTGACAAGGGCTGCTCTCTTTATAATGAGACAAGAAAATGAAATGCCTGTTTGTGCTGTGTGGTAATATTTGGAAATGTAAAAGAGAACACTCAGCTTTGTTCTGGTGAAGTTCTGAGTTAGTGATGTGATCCTTTCTCAAATCCTTCTGTAAATTTGACTGAATAAAATATTCTTTGTTTTCTTACCCTAGTATATTTTATAATGTTATGTTGTTCTCAGATGCTACTATGTTTCATTCCAGAGTTTACTATCCCATTGTGGTTGAAATGATTCTTAAATACAAACTGTAAAAATCTAGATGCATTTAAGTCCCGTTGACTTGAAATTTAGATTCTTAGATTAGGTAGTGGGGGTTGAAAATACTTATGCAATGTGTTTTGAAATCTTTCGGTATAAAGGCAGCCCTGTTGACATGACGTGTGACTTGAAAGTGTACATTCAAGTGTATGTTCTGTAAAACGTTTCAAAGTTAAATTGGCTAGTGGGTACATTCACTGGTGAAACAAATAAGAAAACATATTGGAGAGTAGGATTTTTTAACTGTTGCTTCTGCTCCTCACTGCTGCTTTGGCACCACACAGATTTGTTAAGAATTTGGTTCACTCCAACTCAACTAGTAGACTTGGGAGGTCTTCTGAGCTTCAGGCACTAAATGCACGCTCCAACCTGTGGCCATATCAGGACAAGACACAGCCCTCACCAGCCTCACAGCCTCAACACTCACTAGCCAATTCCTTTTTCTTTCACTCTTGCGATTCTGTAGAAGGAAGCTTGAATGTGTGGGCTCCAAACCCATCTGTCAGAACATATGTAGGCCAAATGGTGTATGACTGTGAGTTGCAGGGAAGTAATGCTAGAAAGTGTTTTGGGAGAAATGGTTCTGGCTTTGGCTGTGGTTTGCTACACTGCTGTTTATGAAAATTCTTCCTCTATTCATGTCTGATAAATAACTCTTCTGTTTCCTAAAGGTGAGTCTCCTTCTGCCATCCGTCTGCCGGCTCCTTCCATTCAACATGCTGGTCCAATTACTCTTTTCCAGACTACTAATGCAAGCACCGCATCAGTGGCTGTTCCAGCTCCAACCCTGCCCCTGCGCCCTGTGATTTCACCACAGCACTTTGCTGAATCTGCTCAGACAGAAGCTCTTGATGTATCATCTGGGCTCAATTGCTCTCTGAAGAGACCTACACCAGTTTTCATTGAGAGCTTCAGCAGAAACCCAAGTAACATAACCACCAGTAATGGCAGATTTTCTGTCTCTAATAGTGAGCCCCCAAAGGAGTACCCAGGGCTTTCTATTTTTCCCAGAGGTATATCTCTTCCCCAAGCTACCCCTTTTCTTCACTCACATCTCTATGAGTCTCCTCCCATTGGTCAGCCAGCCAGTCTGTTTGGAATACCTCCTCGGTTTTCATTTCACCACCCTTACTTTGCACCCGGACCTCACTATTTCCCCTCAAGGTAATTAAACCTTTCATTTCAATACCAGTAAGAACAAATGCTAAAAGGCAGAGAGAGCCTTTTGACTTACAGAAAGAAGATGGAGCATTCAGAAGGAAAGGTGCACTTACGTTCCTGTAGCTCCTGTGTGGTGGGACCTGCTGGCCTGAGGCTGCTCGTAATATATGCCCAGTTATTGAAGGCTCCGTAGTACTATTGCAGTAATTGGCACTCCCAAGGCCACAGTAAATAGAATTACCTTCTCTCCACTTTATGCATCTAAGTGCAGTTGATGTCTACAGAAAAGCATTAGGTAGAGATAGTGTAAATATATTTTGAAAATGATAGGATAGAATTAAAGTAGGTGTGTGAGATGTCTCCTGGCTGCTATGATTGCAGCTGTCATAGCTGTCAATATTTCTGAAATCCAGTCTGGTGAGAAATGTCTTCAGAATACTTATTTAAGTAGTAATTCCTAGTTTTTCCTTTGCAGTCTCTGGGCAGTCAATCAGAGATCACCTAACCAAAGAATTTACAAGTTAACACATGTAATATCCCGTGGGTATTTCCTAAGCTAAGCATGCACAGGAACCACCAGTGCCCTCCCAGCAGCAGGTGTGCTGCTCAAACGCAAGAAGTCTGATGGCCTGCTGATGCTTACTCGTTGTAAGGCATCATTTTTCTTTCATGACTGTGCAATATCAAACATAACAAATTATTATGACTATTAATATTAAATTCTGCCTGTTTATACACTGCTCATTCCTATTAATAGTGACAACCAATACGTTCCTACGGCAATTAGACTACCTGGTCATAAATTAGGGCTGATGATGACCCATCAAACTCAAAAGAACTTAATGAGCTGATAAGTGCAATACAAGATATTTCTATTTTTTAAGTCCTTTAAAGAAACACAGGGCACATATTCCCAAAATTGCTAAAGATGAACTTTGCTTAGCCCTTGGTTTCTGAACTTAGACAGTTTTGTGAGGCCTCTGAGGGAGAGGAGTGTTCTTGTACCATAAAAGACTGTTCTGAGTTCACACATTAATGGGCTTCTGAAGGCTGCCAGCTTTGCTAATGCCAGGATCTTTCTGATAAAATGATTTATAAGTTCACATTCTTATAAACTCATTTCTTGCATACAAGAAGCATAATTTCTGAGTAGCATTGACAGTGCAAATATACTGTATGCAGATTTACGCACTAAAAATTTAAATGTTAGATTTGGAAGATGAATAGTCTCCTTGAAACCTCAAGGTATCAATGTCTTTATAATGTCTGCACTGTAGAGCTCTATTACTTCTTCAAATACTTTGTTTTCTTAACAACATAGGGAATTTCTGTGACACTGTGTAAATTACAGTACCTGTGTCATTCTGCATCAGAGTGAGAATTCAAACTTCTGACAGCAGAGGAATACAGTTACATTTGACATAGTAACTTTCTGCAATTTACTATGTAGTTGCTTTTTAAAAATTAATCACTGTACATTCTTTAAATAGTAACTTTGACCACCACATATTGGGCGTAAGGATTCTGTCAGTCCTCCTGTTTAATAGCAATGTAACAGATGCAAGAGTTCACTCAAAGAATAAACAAGAGCATTTTACCCCAGCTCTGTCACAAACTTTGGCATACAGAAATAACACAAACTGACTTTTGATGCTTTGTTTTACTATTCTGAGTATGTCAGTTAATATACCGCAGGCTTATCGGATGCTGGTTTATCCATGATATTATTTCATTGATAAATACAGTGGGGTTTGTGTTTGTTTTCAGAGCAATGTCATGCGAGTATCTAGCATGAAGAGGTGCATATGCACAGATATGGAATCTGTGCACGACGCTTGTTATGGCCCTAGTGTTTAAATTAGGCACGGTTTTAAAGTATGTGTGTTTTGAATATTTCAACAGGATAAGCTGACTAGCATAGAACGTTAGTGTCATTCTGTTTTTCTTAGCTGAATGGAAGTCCAGGCAATCTGCATTTCTGAAAGGCAACTTTCAATCCTTTTCATTGCAGCACATGTCCATTCAGCCGACCTCCATTTGGCTGTGGGAATTTCTCCAGATCAGTGCCTGAATGCCTTGGCTTTTATGAAGACAGGTACCAAAGACAGGAGGTGATGTTTTCAGCTCTGAATGGAGACTATCCTTTCAAGGAATACCCAGAAGAAAGTATACGTGAGGACCACCGCAGCTGTGAGAGCCTTGAAGTAGTGTCCTGTCACAACAGCTGCAACGAGGAGCGGTATTTAAGCCCCCTACCACAGCTGGATGTGGGAGCATTGGAGGAGGTTTTGTCAGCCACCCCATCTACTCCCTCCAGCATCCACCTAGTTAATGTAACTGACAGTGATGAGGAAGAAGAAGTAAAGTTGTTGCGAGAATTGTAATTTTTAAAACAAATTATAATCCAGAGAAATATTATAGAATGGGAAATAAAGATTTTCCTCCACACTGTCTTTTCAGTCAGTGTGTTCAATGGAAAACCCATGTAGCTTGAGCAAGCTGTACAGGTCGTTTTGAAGAGTCTGATGATCTGTTTGTATTTTGAGAGATCACATACAGATCTGGGGAGGTCAAAAGCCTCTGGAGTTTCACCTCCTTCTTCAGGGCATCGTTTGGGCTCTGGCTCAGGAAAACACTTACACAGGAATTCAGCTCTAAGCATGTGATAATGTGCTTTCCTGAGGAGAGGTGTGTTTAAGCACATCCTTTTAATGCCAAAATAGGCATTTTGATGGTATTTGCCATAATTTTGTAGGTATTACTTTAGGAGTTTTAGCAAATGAAATAATTCTGTTTCATGACCATAATGTAATTCTTGCTGCAGTAAAATACTATATGGCCTGGAAAGTGAAGCCAAGACTGATTCTGCAATGCTTGGTATTTTCCCTTTGATGAGACAGTTTTAAGTTTAATTTGGTTAATTTTTAACTGTAGTCTGTATTTGTGGTACAACTGCTGTATAACGTACTGAAAATTTAGATCAGTTTCAGTAATATCTTGGTCTGCAACCAGTTCCATTCATAAAAATGGGATTGTCCAGAAGGTATGGTAAGGTACGGTAGCACCCACAGAGAGGAAAACGGATGGGAACTGGCCCTGTGACTTCGCTAGTGGGCTGTGACTTGATCCCTGAGCATAGTTAGTAATGTAAAGAATTCTCCAGAGAATACCAAATTCTCTGAAGAATGTCAAAGGCTTTTAATATAGAGAGCATCTGTGCTGAACTCAGAGTGATGAACTTCAAAATTTTTTGGCCAAAATTTGTAATTTATGTTGCTAACTTTTTTTTTTCTTCCCTGTTTTGTGGAATAGAGGGTCATTTTCTTCTGGGAATCCTGTTATTTTGCTGTTGTTGTATTTGAATAAACTCACCTGAACAACGTATCCCTAGTGCTTCATTTTAAGCCATGGACATTGAACTGAGTGGGGACAGGTAAATCGTAATTCATGTAATTCACAGACCCACTGTGCAGCTAAGCTGCACATGCCTAGAGTGACAAGCTGAAGTCACTTTTTCAGACAAATACTAGTATATATATGTGTGTGTGTGTGTATTTATATTTATAATTACATAAATCCAGCTACCACAGAAATAAGGGACGAGCTAAAAGCCATGGATGGAGAAGTCCATCCATGCTGTACTGCCAGAGGATGCTAAGGAATGATTCAGAGGAAGCTAGGCTGACCATCTCATATAGGACATCCTGTATTTTATGGGTTATCACACTGGATCTGTTGTCCCCGAGTGTCCTGTCAAACCTGAGCCTTAGGCCCCCTGTATCCATTGAGACTGCGTTATTGATAAAGACAGAATGAGGTACAAATGGTACAAATGGTACAAATGAAATTTCCATATGCCTCTAAAGCTAGTCCTAAATCAGTGTAGAGTAGATATCCTCTGGGTTCTTCGCATTTTAAGTTTTCAGTCTTATATCAACATTTTTATGCTTTTCTGCTTCTGTGGGCCCATAACTCCATTTTCAAAGTCCAAAATCAAAACCTCTCATTTGAGAACTACTGCATTTTGTAGTTAAAGAACACAAAAGCGTGAGTAAATCCTGTCTACCCTACACATTGCAACTGTGTTGTAAACAGCCCCCTGCTCCCACTGCATCTGCAGTGCAGATGAATCGTTAAGAGGAAAGTCTTATAAATAGTAGAAAATGCCTGTTCATTTCTAAATTATCTTCTCACTGAAAGCTGATTTGCATGTGGGCAAATGTACTAATTCCCACACAAGTATGTTTCAGGGTATAAAACAGCTGTTTGTGGGATTATTCTCTAGATCTAACTTTCCTCTTCTCCCATTTTTCTTTTTATACACTGTGGAGTAGGATATAAGACATATTCCAATGTAGCAGAATCTAGAATGGTTGCTTCCATGGATAATACAAATTTACTTCCTCCTATATGGGGGTGTCCAGCACTATTTGAAGGGAGGTGCCTCAGAGCTGCTGGGTTGTACCCTGTGCTTGTTGTGAACCTGGTGCCGATAGCTCAGAGCGAGCTTCAGTGGGTTGAGGGATTTGGCATTTGCTGGGCAGCATCTGTCCGCTAACGGGACTTCTGCTGTTCATGCAGGGAAACACAGTATTATACCCTTAGCAGATATCTGTTCCGTTTAATACCACTAAGGCCAGAAGAAAAGAAGACTGAAGTTTAACACATCCTGGATATATTAATGGGAAACAAAACATAGGGCTGATCCCTCCCTCCCTTCCAGCCAGAGCTGAAGTCCTGAGTCAGTCGTACGGGATCTGTGCCTGCAGGTCTCTGGCATTGGACCCAGCCCTCAGCTGAGCTCTCTTGAAGACTATTGTGTGTTGTCTACAGTAGGAGCGAAAATTATATGAACACCCCATCCAAATCTGGCTTCCTCTGATTCATTCCTTAGCATGCTCTGGCAGCCCTGCATGGGGGAATTCTCTTGTGATAGAAGAGGTTTTTAGCTCCAATTTCTAGGTCATTTTCAGCCCACCTTCTAACTTACCTCCTAAATGCAGATTCCTGAAGTGCCAAGTATCTGTGCTGTTATTTCTCTCCTTGAAACGTGTGAAATGGGTCGTAGGCAGGGCCAGTCCCATGGCAACTGCGTGCCCTCCTCATGGCAGGGCAGAGGGTATTTGAGACGTGAAAGGGACATATTCTACTCTCTTATGAGATAATTTTTTTAATTCTGTCTCTGCTTTTTACCTTAATCTAAACTAAAAATCACTTTGCATGCTTCTCAACTTGAAAAACAAATCAGATGCAGATTTTCCAAACAAAGTTTGTTTTCCTCCTGCTGCTGTAAAAGTCTAAAGACATTTAGTAGTGCTTCCCGGTGCGTCACTGCTTGTGGCTATACATTTGCAGAGATGAGTTTCTTCTCCAAAGTTACCGGACAGTTTTATGGATTGGATGTTATTAAAAGCCCTTGTCATTATAGCTGTTCCCCCTCTCTTACGAGAATAAGCTATTTCAGTATAATCACTATTGTGCTGGAGAAGTTTGCAGGCAGTGTGGAGAGGACTACAGTGCTTTACATGTACAAATAGAGTTAAAAAGATGCAACATGTCTGCATATACAGTCTTCTACCATTAAGTTCACTTGCCTGTCAGGATGAAGCAAAAGTAGCAGCAGTGACCCACCCTTTAAAAAAAGTATAGAGAGTGCTTTGATATTATTTCACTAACAGCACATTGGGACAAGCCCTTGTCTAGTACTTGATCATCTTACAGCACTTCTCCCTCTTTGGCAGGACAGCTGCTCTAGGGCTCTTCCAAGTGTTCCCACTGTCCTACATGGGTGGTGGAAAACCAAAGCTAAATGGAAGATTCTGGGTCAGACGAAGCTCTTCTCAACTGTTAAGACTCAAAATAATGAAGTTTGCTGTTGAATTGCCGGTTCCCTTCACGGATTCACAGCCTTCCTCCTTTGATCATTTCCAGTGAGCTGAAGGAGAAAAATGTTCTGAAAAACGGAAGATTTCACATTCCACTCAAGTCAGCCAAAGACACAAAATTTCTTTCATCAGTGCGAGTGTCTGAAATGCAGAGGTTAGACAGGACAAAAAGTCTTCTACCTTCTCCTTCTAAGACTTTGATTCTTGGTAACATTTTCTCCAGTGTCAGCAGGAGTCTTTTCAAAGCAGTTCGTTCAACCTTTCCCATTTCTGAAGAAAGAGTTCCAATGAAATATTACTGAGCTTTTAGTCTGATACATTTAGTCTGAGTCATTCTCTGCATAAGTCTGTTTCTTTCGCAGGTGTTCTCCTCTGTAGGTCTATCTTTCTATTTCCTTCTAGGTGGCTAACTCCTACTTTACTATGAACATAATGGGAGAATCATCACCTTTTGCTTTCCAGCTAACAACAATAGTGTTAAACCATCTTGCATACAGTCGAGTAAGTGCAGAAACCCCACTGCAAAAGCATTTGCATCAGCTTTGCTCTGGGGAAACTGGAACACCTAATTTTCAAACCTAGTAAATGACCACATGCACCAACACTTGCTCTGGGTGCTGCAGGGAGGCTGCAGCTAATAGGTATGTCCATCCCTTGATCACAGGGGACGCAATAGATAAGGCAACAGAGCACAGACTTCCAAATTCCCAGCTGATACTTTTAATCAGGCAGTTGGGATCCTGGAGGAAATGGGTCTGAGTCTGTGTAATTCCTAGATAACTGAAAGCCTGACCTTGCTCTGTGAATCAGGCAAATGTCCCGCTGAGTTCGGTAAGAGCTTTTTGAAGAGATGGGTACAGGCAGGATCTGACTCATCCTGTGCCAGAGGCAGGCAGCGTTACAGCATCTGAGCACTGTTAATAAGGCTAGAATGTCCTGAATCTTTCCATGCAACAATGTCTCAGTAGTGTAAGTGATATAGCATATATATAGATAGATTAAACTATATATAACAACTGCACAGTCTGTGGTTATATTTATATAGAGGGAGTTTCTGGTGATTATAAATTAAGATATCAATTCTCATATTACCAAGATCCAAAGCTAAAAATATCACTATATAACAAAAGCAAATATTGCATGTATTTTATTTTTATGATACTTGAATGCTGACAACAACCACAAGCAGATAGTTGTTGGCCTAAGTATTTTAAAAATCTTAAAATTAGGTTCTTTTTATTCCATTTTATGCTTATTTTGAGCTGATCTTCTTTTAGCGAAATATATGGAGCAGTCCCTAGGAAGATTTGTTGTACTGGGAAGATTTGTGACAATCTTTCAGTGCAAATATACATGTTCCTCAACACAGTATTTTTTTTGCCTTTGGGTAGACAGAAATGTTATGCAGGGTTGAAAGCAGAATAGCTAAATTTGTGTCTAAATTTGGCTTGCATTTTTACTTTTCTATAATAAAAGCATCAACAATAGCGCCATTGTTT